CAATTTTTAATTTTTGTAGAAAAAAAGAATATATATATATATATAATGCATACGTGAAATTATTATTTTCTCTGAAATTAAAAGGGATTTTTCCCCCAGAGGGCTCGTCATAGATTCAGTAAATTCATAAATATTAAAAAATATTATTTAAATATTTCAGTAAATGCAAGATATTGCAAGAGTTTCTTTTTTTAAAGTATCAGTATTTAGTAATAAACTATATTATCGCCCAGCCATAATATTTAAAGTTGAATTGTTTGGGTCAGTTTTTTGGGCTTGTACATGCATATCTACTTAAAATTCTTGTAAATGTTGATGGCCTTAAAGGTAGACATGGACTAAATCCACAAATTGTGGTCTTTTCATAGTGTGTGTGTCTGTTGTTGAAGCTCTCTTGGTTCTCTCTTAAACTGTCTGGTCTAAATGCCCTCTGGAGTGTTAATTGAGCTGTAAGTTTGACGGTGTATCAAGGTCTCCCATTGAAAGTGTAAGTGTGACAGGCTAATGGAAGAGGTCTTAAAAATGACTTGGATTTTGAAGGTCTTTCCAAAATCGAGCATTTCTGATTGAAGTAACTGAAGATGTATTTAACTTGTCTTTATGTGGTACGACGGACGTCTCTAAGTGTCTGTTTTTATGTCACAGGGCTGTGCGTCCTGGAAGTGGTATTTTCCCTTTCATTATGCTCCGTTTGCCTCCGACTTCAAAGACATCAAGGGCATGTTCAACGATTTCGAGAAAGGGACCAAACCGGTAATTTGAAACGCATTGCAACACTGAGCCAAAACAAATAGTGCATTAGAGTTTGTGTGTCAGTGCATTGTTCTTGTGTTGCTGATGTGTTGACTATTGATTTAACACAATTTTATCATATTTTTTCATTTGTAGTTCAAACCTCTGGAGCAGCTCATGGGTGTGTTTCCTGCTGCCAGTGGAAACTTTCTGCCACAAATATGGAGAGCCCTGATGACCGACCCAGTGAGTGACAGATTTACTGTACCTCTGACATAGAGCTGCACAGTTAATCGTTAAAAGATCGCGATCTGGATTCCGCGTTTGAAAGTAACTGCCACATAACGTTGTGTCGATTGCATTGTTTCGCCACTAGGTGGACTAAGATTTTTAATGTTGTTTTTTTTTTTTTTTTTTTTTTAAAGAAG